CCCAATTCCTCACGCAGCTCCCTTTTCTTTTTTCTTTTTTCTTTTTAATTATATCCGGATATTCTTATACAAATTATGAGGGGTTTTGAAAATTGTTAAATTTGATTTGAAATTAGCGTAATGCAATTCTTTGAGATTTAGAACTTAATTATCCTAACCAAATCTAATTTAGATAAGCTTGAATAGTTTTAAAATAAGTATAATATATAATATAATGATTATTTATTATTTTGCATTTTCTCAGCTAAATATTAATAATTTTTAATATATTGTCAAATTTTAATTTAAAAAAATTTTGATTCGAAAAAAATATTACATAAGGACTCCGTATGCGGTCGGAGTTCAATGGTAGGGTGCCACATTTTAAGTGGGTCCCACCATTCTTTACACTTGCTAATATCAATGTATTACGGTAGGGTCCACTTGACACGTATCGTCCAATCATTAAACTTCTGAAGCAAATTGTGTTAAAAGTTTCAGGCTAAGCTCCAAACAGAAGTTTCTTATTCCCGTCTCGAATATATTATTATTATTATTCAAATTTATTTTTTGACGAGTCATGTTTTATGATGTCATATAAAACTATTAAAATTTTGTTCTTGCGTCAAAATATAGTCTCCTATATAAGGATAATTAAATAGAGAATCTAAACTATTGAAAAATTAACTATCCAGCTGATTTTTTATACCATCGAGTTTGACAAATTTACGCCTGGCACGACTAAATCATTTAAAATCTCATAAAATTGAAAAATATGGGTTGGAATTTTGTCATGAATTTTAATATTTGTGTTAGAATTAAAAAAAAATAGATGAAACATTACAAGTGATTTATAAATAAAAAAATTTGCATACCACCTATTTCTTCTGGATATACATATCTAACACATATATATATATATATATATATATATATTATTAAACATTAAAAACAGCCCTGCTCTATCATAACAAGCACCAAGCAGCTTAACCCCAATCTACACCATTGTAAACCAGTATTTACAGAATATAAAATACAAAAATCTATGAGCTTCGCCCATCTCATAACATCAGTCCACCTTCACACCAAAATCTTCTCCTTACAGTCTATTAAATCGAAAGAAATCCGAATTAAGTCAATGAAAGCAAAGCAATAATAAATTGTAGATTAATTGGGTTTATTGTTATGACGTACCTGAAGCCAAAACCGGCCCCTTATAGAGAAACTGGAGGCTATCTCGATTATGGCCGGAGGCGAAGAACGAGAAGCCGGAGACGACCGGGGAGCCGAGAAAGACGAAGCTGACTGGTACCATCCATAGCTGATCCTTGGATTCCTGAAATTTTAAGCTCCACCAAATCAGCAGCAGCGCTCCGGCGACCGTTGATAGGAGGAAGAGAAGGATAACTGCTACTGGTATCTTCTTCCCTTCACACCCCTCCTCCATTGGTCCTAGAGAGAGAAATTTCAGTTCTTTGAAGGTTGGAAGAAGGAAAATAAGGAGGTTAATTTAGGGAGAGGGAGATTACTTGTGAAAGGGAGAAGTTTCTGCCTAGTTGTTGTCTTCCTGAGTTACTACTACTTTGAAAAAGACGAAGGAAAAGAGGAAAAAAATTAAATATATACCTTTAAGAAAGGAAGGATAAATTAATTGGCTCTAATGCCTACGAGTCTATCTCAATATATAAGATGGTTGGTAGAAGATACTCACGTCATGCTGCCAAATGGATAGTATGACGTCATCGTTTGTATGTAGGCATACTATTTTCTTTCATAATGGAGGATATAAATTAGACAGCATTTGCATATTCTTGTGGGAATATGTAATTGAACTTAAATAAATTTATTTATATCATATAAATCTTTCATATCAAATAAAAAATAGTTAAAAGGTAATTTAATTTTATAAAATAAAAATTGTATTTATATTTTTACATTTCTCAAAAACAATATGACATTTTGTATAAGATTACATATTAAATATAGTCTTTTAATCACTTTTTTTTTTAATACAATCACCCTCCTAAACCAAATCAAGAAGATTTTGAGTAAATGTTTGGTCAGCTGAAATGTTATATTTAATGTTTTAGATGATTAGTATGCAAAAAACACCAAATGTTATATTGTTGTCGTATCTGATGATCCTGTTAACATGATTAGTATGCAAAAAACACCAAATGTTATATTGCTGTCATATCTGATGATCATGTTAACAGAGTAGATGTTTTACACATTAGATTTGAATTATGTTAAGAAAGAGAGGTAGACCTAAAAAGACTTGGTCATATTGTATAAAAAATGATTTTAATTTGTTAAAACTAAATGAAAATTTGACACTCAATAGGATGCAATGAAGATAAATAATTCATGTAGCCGACCCAACTTAGTGGAATAAAAGCTTATTGTTCTCGTATTTTATAATTTAACACTGCTAATTAAAAAATAACTAAATGGGGGCATTTAGATGCATGCCACTCAATCCTATGTATGTACATATATGACACTAAAATTTAGTTTCTTATTGTATACACCATAATTTTAAGCACTAATCTCAAATCCTTTGAACAACGTAGATGAAGACCAGACAACCAAGACGTTATACTATCTTATTGCCAACTTCATCGTCAAGAATCGGTCGACACACTTTGTCAAGTGATCCAAACTGCAGACCACGTCGACAATCTCGACCGACCGGGGCGTCTATGAGAATCCTTGATCGCGGCTAACCAATCGACCTCCCTCTACCGCTGCAGATGAGATCAACATTTGACCAAGTGCCTCACTCAACTGGTCGTCTCAATCGACCAAATTCAAGCAAGAATCGACTAATTACTGTCATATTAAAATTCAAATTGTATACTTCATATATGTTATGAAATCCATATGATTCATAAGAATATTCATTGTATTAAGAGCAGCTTTCATAACCGTCATCTCTTTTCAGTAATTGTACAAATTACGCTCCTATAAATAGGAGACAAAAATACTAAAAAAGAGACGATTGCCAATTCTCTCTACACGAAACTCATGACTAGTTATACTCTCTTTCTATCTTCCTTCCTTCACTCAATCCTAAACTCTTGGGACTTGTTCACAAAGAACAATTTAGAACCCAACATCCAATTTATATCATCCAAATATTTCACATCACATCAAAAATATCTCTATTTCAGCTTTTAAAGATGGATACACCATTTTCATGCATCGGTAAGGTGGATTATATGTAAAAATTGAAGTTCAGACTTAGAGATATGTAAATACATAAGAATTAAGCGGTATGCATGTAAATCTTCCTTTTCTTCAGATACAATGTTTTGACTCGTGCTGTATTTATCCATGACCAGAGAAGTCCTGAAATAATTTTTTTTTTTCCTGGCGGCTAGTTTTCAGTCACGGTCGCCCCAAGTTGTCCATTTCACCAATTGTCATTTGGAATGAAAGATCAAAATGTGGCATCAATAACTCTGTTAATTTATTCAATTGCTGACTTTTTTGTATTTTTTTTTCATATAGAGAACAATACAGCAATAAATCAAGTCAATTTTGCAAGGATTTAAATATAATTTTCTTGAGGTAAGGTGGGACGTGCGCTTCCGGACAAGGTGAGCATTTGAATCAGTATGGTAGGATTTTTCTTTTTATTTTCAAACCAAAATGTTTACACATTTTAGGTCAAAACAGGGAAAAAATATTACCTCTGTCAGTACTCTAATGGTGGGATGTCACGTATGCAATGATCCCACCGTGGCGCGCACACCACCATTGGAGTACTGATGCATCAGCACTCTTGATGTAATATTTTTTCCAAAACAGGGCATGTTTGAAAAAACTTTTTGGCGTGCTGAATTAGTTTTCTAGAAAAAAGGGTTTTTTTTTTTTTTTTTTTTTTTTGCCAAATAGATGAATTTGAAATAAACATTTTGTGATTTATCATTATTTTTTCAAAAATAAAATGTACACAAAAATATAAATTTTAAATCTATCATGTTTTTCAGTTTTGATAAAAAAAAAAATAGAGGATAATTTTAATATAGCTATTACATTCTAAATATTACAAAAATTTCGTATTTTTTTTCATTAAATTTTATGAAAATTGGACAAGAAAGTCTCAGTCCTGTCAAATGTTCAGCTGTCTCCTGTATTTACATCAGCACAAATCTAAAAGTAAATCAATGGTATATGTCCAACTCTCACTTTCTTAACATCTTGTGAACTCGCATTGCATAGGGTCTTCCAGAACTTGCATGCCGAGTTTCTTTCATGGACCAATGACTATAAATGGAAGAGCTTTCGTCTGGGATAATAATCGGGTAACGAACAGTTCGGGCATTTATGGAACATAAATGTGGATGAGATGCTGATCTGATGCAAACTCCAAGCTCACCGATTTAAAATATCTTTACCATACATGTCCTTGGATCCCATTTCATTTGTGGATTATACTGAAATCTAACTAACATGAAAGAGAAGAGACAGAGAGCTAAGAAAAAAACTAAAGGCATATAAGAAAAAATCCATCAGATACCTTGGAAGATAATTTTTACTTTTGTTTTTTCATTTTCTAATCTTTTGTGCCATATTTATACTTTGTGGGGCGCCCTTGATAATTCGAAGTGATTGAAAACTCAACTTTTTAGTTGAAATGCAGTTTATGTTGAACTTATATTTGTAAGGTTAATTTGCGAGTATAAAATTCGGTTACTATTTCATCTTGAATTCTCTTATGGCGTTGTGAATGATAATAATTTGATAAATTCATATTGGATTTATTCCGCATGCAACACTTCTAAAACCATATTTTTCACATAAAATTGTGTTAACGACTGAGTATCACAGTCATTTGCCAACAAACAACACCTACAACTGTGTTTTTGAAACAGAACAATTGCTTCCAAAACACCAGCTTCTGAACAACAACTTTGTACCCAACTTTTCTACAATCATAACTGAAACAAATGCACCCTTCGTCTCTCCAGTGTCTCTCTCATTTCACTGTTCTCTCTCTCGATCGCAACAGAATCATAAGACTTATCATTCTTTTAAAAATCGTTTCCATTTTTCTTACTATATGCACGCCACTCGACCCTTTGCCCATCGATACACACACGCAAGACCACACCGTTTCTTCCGCTCTGCCCTAATATGTGACGCTCATCTCTTGTTTATGTTGTCTCACGCACGTCAAAAAAAGCCCTCACTTGATCGTCCTTCTCTGTTGCACCTCCTTAACCCATTGGAATAGCCACCCGCTCTACACACTGTCGTCCCTGTCTTCCCAATCATGTGAATCCTTTGCTTCGTCTCTGTTGTCTGAAGTAGCCAGCACCTCTCCTGTTTGAAATCGAGCGCTTCAAAATTACTATGTTGTAGTCCTTCAATTCCTGCAAAATGTCTTCCCTAACTTCATACACCACATAATTGAATATCCTCCTTAGCCGCGATCACTTCACCTACTCCGTCTCTTGGGCGAGCCTTGTCGTGTTAAATATATGGAGCATATGACTTACCTACATCACATATCGCGTCTCACCTACCTCTCTCCCTCCTACCTCTCTCTCATTTTCTTTAAATAGTCTCTTTTGACCTGTCATAAGAACCAAGTTAAGTCCTCTTGAGAGCAAAGAGAGAGAGAGAGAACAAGTTTTCTTGTAAATGTCGAGGAGCTCGACGGTGTAATTTCTTGAAGTAATAAAATCCTCTGCAGCCCTACAGACGTAGGAAAATTAGCTAAACCACGCAAATCTGTATGTTATTTTTCTGATTTGCAATTTTTCAATCCTATTTTTTCACTTTATTGTCATCATTTTTCATAACAATTGGTATCAGAGATTTTTTTCGAGGCTAAAAGAAAACGATGGACGAAGACAAAGTGATGGCATCAGGGATCAAGAAGTTCAATGACACAGACAAATGATATCTTTATGAGAAGAAACTTCATTTTCCGTTACTGGAAAAACGACCAGAAAAGATGGACGAGACAAAATGGAATATGTTAAATCGACAGGTTCTGGTGGTTATTCGATTAACCCTGTCAAGGTTCGTTACCCACAACATTAACAATGGGCATGAGAATGTTGGAATATGTTGGAATCTTGTTGGCTTCGTTGTCAAATAGTTGGGAAGTCATGAGAATGACAGTTATCAATTCTGCAGATAAATCTAAACTGAAATATGATGATATTCCTGAGTTGATTTTAGCTAAGGAGGTGCACAGGAAAGATTCCGGCGAGACCTCGGGTTCGAGTTCGACACTGAATTTGATTCCAGAGGGTGATCACAGGACAGAAACTCAAACAGAGGAAGATCAAATCAAAGTCTGGTCAGCAGACAACTTGCTAGAATTGTTGCAAGGCTAACCACATAAAATGAAACTGCAGAAATTCTAAAAAGAAGGAAAATGATAGCTAATGTTATGACTGAAGAAATATATGATGCACTATTGGTGGCAATTCACAATTATGTTGATGACTAGATACTGGATTAAGGGGCTTCCTTCCATACATCTTCCCGCCGGAAGTTAATGTAAAATTATGTTGCAGGTAATTTTGGAAAGGTATATCTGACTAATAGAAAAACTCTGAACGTGGTGGGGATGAGAGACGTTAATATTGCACTCTCTAACGAGAGCTAATAGACTTTGCAAAAGGTCAGGCACGTTCCTGAGTTGAAGAAAAACCTCATTTTTGTTGGGCAGCTCAATGAGGGTGGTCATTCAGAAGTTTTCTTAGATAGCACCTGGAAGGTTACCAAAAGAGCACTAGTACTGACTCAGAGTAAGAAAACTAATACATTATATATGACTATAAGTTTACTCAATACTGTTGCTACTACAGTTGTAGAGAGCACGACAGATCTGCAGCATTGCAGGCTTGGTCACACGAGTCAGAGCTATAAAGAAATCTTGCAAGATGAGAATTTGAGCATGTGGGAGCTGACCAAGGAGGAGGAGACGGATTCCCTTCCAGGAAATCAGACTTAGGAGCTGACAGAACTTTCACTAGAGAAAAAGACACTACAGAACAAGTGGATGTACAGGGTGAAGACTACGCTTGATGACAGTAAGAGATACATGACTAGGTTTGTTGAAAAAGGATTTCAGCTTAAATGGGATATTGCCCATGCAATGAGAGTTGTAAGCAAATTTATGAATAACCCAGGAAAGAGCTTGGAGGTACAAGGCTACATTGGCGCTGATATGTCAACTAAGGTTGTTACGTTTGAGAAATTGAAGTTGTGTTCGACTTCAGTTGGTCTTCCAGTGTAAAGACAGAAGCCAAGAGTTGCAAGGGTGGAGGAAAGTGGAGGATATCATGTTTGAAAAAAAAGGTCGGTACAACCAGCAGATGATGCAGCCTGTAGGTGGTGCAGTTAGTGTCTCATTCTCCAAGTGTAAGAATTGTTAAATATATAGAACCTGTGACTTACCAACCTCACATACCGCGTCTCACCTACCTCTCCTACCTCTCTCCACTTATCTCTCCCGTCCTTTAAATACCCTCTTTGGGCATGTCATAAGAGCTAAGCAAGTCCTCTTGAGAGCTAAGAGAGAAAAAGGAAGAGAGAAAGAGAAAATAAGTTTTCTTGTAAACGTCGAGGCGCTCGACGGTGTAATTTCTCGAACTAATAAAATCTTCTGCAGCTCTGTAAATGTATGCAAATTAGTCGAACCATATAAATCTGTGTGTTATTTTTCTGATTTGCAATTTTTCAATTCAATTTTTTCACTTTATTGTCGTCATCTTTCATAACATGTCGAACATCTCCCTGCGTGTTTCGTTCGATCCACAGTTAACACTGAATAGAACCTTCATCCCTGACTTCCCGCATGCCACAAATCCTCAGCAACCCTCGTTGCCCTAACCCAAAATCGAGCAACACCCCCTTGTGTCAGAAGCATCTACGTGCGATACTCTCTGCTCCATCGAATCCACTGCTCTGCGCTAGCCCACAAAATTCTGTGACATTTCTTCCTCCTTGCACTGCAATCCGTTCTTCTGAAGCCCACGCAGAATTGCCACTTCCTCACGTTCCAAAGCAACTTCCTTGTGATCCAAAGCCACACGTACGTTTTCCACTGCCCTAGAGCCCAATCTGCTTCAAATCGCAAGAAGCCTTACACACTAAACCGAGCCGAGTTCCTCTTTGCTTTCTTATTAGAGCCCGGGCATTACATTAGCCGAGCCTGACTATTTTTGCCCAACTCGAGCACTTACCCGAGGCATTTTTGGTGTTTATGTTGTTTTTTTTTCTTTTTTTTTTTTTTTTTGTTTTGTAATTAAAAAGAAAAGGAAGAGAACATCTGTGATGAATTATTACTTTTATTGTACTATCGCTGCCGATGCTATCAGAGCTTGAAAGGTATATTTTTGGAACAATGGGGTGATTTTTGAAATATCCACTCGAGGAAGCGTGAGTACATGTTCGTGGGGAAATTAAGTCTTGTTAAAACAACGAACTCGTTTGAAAAAAAATTTTAAAACTTTTGAATTTTAAAATACCAATTTGTGAGAAAAGCAAGTACCAAGTGCTGCTCGGAAAATATTGATTTGTGATCTTACTTTTTGTGCATATACATTGAAAGTCCGATGTGTCTTTTAAAATTGCACACTAAATTTATACTTTGTTTCCCGACCACAATATCTCACGACACTAACAATCTCGTCTTTTAAGATAGTTGAGAAGATTGACATTCTCTCGTGCCCCAAAGAGGGGTTAATAGTAGGCTGTCAAAATTTAAGGTGATTTAAACTTGTAATCACTTTAAAATATTTGAAAATTTGGATTTTTAATTAAATAAAACATCACTTATTTTAATTTTAAAATGATTTGTAGATTTGGGCTTTTAAAATTTTAGTCTTTTAACTTTAAAATATTGGGGCCTTGGGCTTTTAAATATTTAGGCTTTTAAAACATAAAATTTCAAGGCTTAAAAATTTAAAATTTTGACTTTAAAATTTAAGCTCCCAAAGCTTAAAAAAATATTTTGAAATTGAGCTATTCAAACTTAGGCTCTTAGAGCTTCGAAATCAATTCAAAATTAAAATTTTCGAATTTAGGCTCCAATGGGCGAAGAATAATTCAAATGTGGAGTTTTCTTAAAATTTAAATTAATGGTCATTGCTACAGGATTCACAACATGTTTATAAGCAAACAAAAGGCTATATTTTATAACCCTTAAAGTGAACCTCTACATGCATCAATATATTCATTCAAATAAGGCAAATTTATATAAATTCAAATCTTACATAAGATTCAATTCATGCATTAAAATTATACAAATTATCTTAAGATATATAAAGTCATCTAAAATAGTCAAAAACGTGAAATTTAAATGTTTGCATATGCTCCAACCAATGTAATGGACGCTTAAATATTATATTTGAGTATGTTGCGAGGGCTAATAAGACCGTCTTGTTTATAGGATAGAGTCGTAAAACCTACTTAACTAGTCCGATCATCCTACTTGCAAGGAGTAGAGTTGACGAGTTTAGCGAATTTGAAATAAATGTTTCATTCTTAAAATAGGAATTTACAAGTCCAAATTACATAATTCGATCCTCCTACCTATAAGGATAGAAGTCGAAAGGAATTAAACTCTGAAAAGTTTAAACTAACAAAACTAAATGTCCCCTCTTTTTAAGTACAAAATCTCTAAAATGTTCAATACAATGTTCAATACCCCAATGATGGCGGTGTTGATCTAAGATTTCAGCCGGATAGGTCAATCTTTTAAATCAGGATCTTCAAAATAATCAAATCTCGCATCCATAACAGTTTGTCGAGGGTGTAAAATTTCTAATTGACTTCAGCCCACAGAGAGCTGATGTCATATTAAATGTATTCATATATTCACAATAGAAGTAATTGCATGCCGATAAAGACGTGACCCAAGTCCTCTGCATGCATTGTTTTACCGCCAAATGACACCACAAAGTAGAGGTTACAACCAGAGCCCTATGACTGGATGGTTGTAGCTAAATGACACTATTCCCTTACGGTCACAACCGCAACCCGTATGTTCCTAAAAAAATTTCTTTTATTTGAGTTGTGAATCATAAGAGTACAATTAATTGGCACAAAGCCTTCTGTTAGCCCAAGCCGACTTAAATTTATTCCCTTAGATAAATATCTACCCCAAATCTACAAAAATTTCTTGGTAGATGCAACTCGTAGCTGATGACAAAAATTCTTCTATCAAGTTGGGTCTCCTACCCCAACTAAGTAGACCAGGGACCATGCGAGCCCGGAAAGACGAAATCATGAGATTTTGATCAAGTTTTGTCTTCATTCCCCACCATTCACTTCTTAATTTCCAAGTGATGAATTTTGTAATTTAAAATCTTAAGTTTGCTGATATTGTATGTTAAACATTCAATTCTTAACGACTTGATTTAATCAAAAATACTCTTCCATCATCATGCGGGGTAATTGACCATAAGAGCTTGCGCCTATAGGAAACCTCGAACCCCATATCAAAAAGCCATCGCAAGGGTAATGTCTCATCTACAATCCAATCTGTCTTCTAAAAAGTTAACCTCCAAAGCTCTCTCAAAACAAAAATAAAACTAAATGGAGAGTCCTGAGGAGCGGACATAATTTTCATATCCCACATCACCTCTTGCGGTCAATCTAAAAATTATTTCACTGATAAAAGAAATCTGGATACAAACAACATTTATAACTCATAAAAAAAAAAATAAAAAAAAAATTCAGCCATGTTTAAGCTTGGAAGTAGCATACTTGCCTTAGCATGGACAAACAAATTCACATTTTGTACTCCAAGACAATATGCTTAATAGTGCAAATGATGGCAACCCATACGATAAAAATTTTTTATGTATTAAAGCCCATTTGGTTGAATATATTTCTAGCATACTGGTTTTAAGATTTAGATTATTTACAAAATTTGATGTTTAATTTGGAAAAGTTT